TACCCTTGAATGCGCAGTTGCGGCAATAGGGTGCATTGACGCAACCGGCAGCTCTGTGGCCTTCTTGACCGCACCTCCGGCAGACATGTGATTTGACCCTACACTCAGCCACTCTATGATCGAAACCCATATACCGGAAGCAGCCAGCAACGAGGCTATCCGGTCGCACCCGGAAGGAGAACCCTCTCTAAAACAGAGGGAGTGCGAATAACCGCCCCACCACCCTTAATCGGCCTAACTTCGTGGATCCTCACACCGAGTGAAGAACTACTACTACTACTTTTTTTATGAAAGACCCCCCACGTGCAATCGCTTCCAGCACCCTTACCGCAACCGCTACAACTACCGCTCCCGCCCTCTTCACCCTGCGTTTCTCCCGGCGACCCCAAACTCGCCTTCCGCCGTGGCGGAGAACTAACCGGTGGTCCCGCAGCTTCATCGCCCGACGTGGTGTCCATCGTAAGGGTTGATGGCCCCTACTCTTCACTCCCAGCGAGGGACTTAACCCTCCTCCTCCGTAGTGGAGGCATCTTCACCTTCGGACGCCTCTCGGTAGGCTGATCCGCCGAGCGTATCGAAATAGCTGCTCGCCACGTACGTTCGACTGAACGCGTTGAAGAAGGCACAAAAGCAGACCCGCTATGTAGTAGCGACGAGCCAAGCGGACGATTAAGGCGTTCTCGCAAGGGAACAGCCCACAACTCCAGCCGAATGGTCTGGACCAAGGTCACTCAAATGACCGCCGGACGGAACAAGTCCCCGTAACGGTTGCGAGTCGACCGATGTGGCGCTGAACCGAATCGATCCGTGAGCTAAACGCACACTACTACGACCGTTTATCTGCACAGGATACACTATCTCCAACACTTGGACAGCCGCCGGTACCTGTTGAGCAATCCTGCTCAGTACTTGCTGACACTGACCAACTGGTCGCCAGATGCCCAACACACGTGAACGACCACGTTGCGGTAGTACCTAAAGGTACAGTATACAATATTAAAAATATGTACTTACCGCTATTCAGCTCACCCACGCCGAAAAATGCCCAAAAAACGCGCAATTTGTGCCTGCGTGTGAACAAATATCGCTCAAAGAAAAATACCGAAAATCACTAATACATCGCATCGATGCGCACGCACGTCTATTCGCGTCGGAATCCAAACAACGAATGACTCTAGTGGATAGTCTGCATCCTCAGAATCGGCGTACGGCGAAACGCATTTTTTACTGTGCAGTAGATAATCGAAGAAGACCCGAATGAATCCATCCGCCATCGCTCGCAATAGGAGCTGTGTCCATCAACTTTACGGAACGATCTTGGTTTGCGGGTCCTTGCTAAATCCAACTCGTGCGAGATGGCCACCGAATCCGATTTTCACAAGAAAATATTGTTCAGTGATTAAGCTAATTTACCTTAATAAACACATTTTTTTTTATTTGATAAAAATTTTTTTTTATTTTTATATATTATATTATGCAAATATAATTCCTAAAAAAAGGGAATACTGGCTGAAAGAGCCTACGGCTCAGTTTAGCGAAATGGTATTGTTATTATTTTTATGTTATAATAAGGTGTTTGTCACGTGCACAATTTATTTAATTTAGTTTATGTATATTTTTCATTAGATTTTCTTGCTTAAGTCTAGTTTCTTGAAAAATTGGTTTAATATTTCGATGTTTGTTTTTGTGATGATTGTAAGTAAATCTTTTGGAGCAACTTGCCCGAAGATTTTATTCACGTGGATTTTAGTTTTTTGTAGTCCTGAATTAGGTGGTCTATGGATAATAATTCTTTGCAGAAGGGACACCCTGTCAAGAGGTGTTCGTGTGTCAATTTACTGTGACCTATTCGTAGGCAAACCATTACTATAGACTGCTGCCTTGGGGTTGTTTTTGGGTATGTTGCCCTTGTGCCCTTTGGATTAAATGTGACGTATCGATGGAGGTTCTGCTGCCACTATATTCCCCGTTTTTCAGCCAAACTGCGAGCAATGTAATTTGAGAAATCTTTTGGTTCAGTTGTGTGGAAATTTAGGTACGCTGCTTTGCCGGTGATACCTATATGACTTGGTGTCCATATTAGTTTTTTTTTTGCTGCATCTGAGAAAAAAATTTCTGATGTTGTTTAATAACGAATAAAATTAATAAACTTAATTACTACAATGCACAATAGTAGAACGATAATATATAAGTACAGTGTCTCTAGACGAGCTCTTGAGCACTCCGCTATCAATAATTTGTAACATTTTATTAACTAATGATATTATTTATATCTTAACTTAGTAAATATATAGTATATACTTGTATTTGTTTGCAAGGAAAAAGTAAAATAAACGAAGCATAGATGATTTTATAATATAAAGTAGTTAAAAGAAGAACAAGAAATCAGATCAAATGTGTCATGGAGTGAATTAGTTTTCATTATCATTTAATAGCCATCAGCAGTTCTGTTTCGTCAAAGTGGTTTCAGTTTTGTCTCTAAACGAGATGTACCTATGTGTTAAATCGTTTGTTTTCAGCAGTGAGTATTTTCGAAAGTGACTGCTTTGTTGTTAGCTCTTCTAAATATGTGATAGATTATTGCGATGTTGTCTTCGTTTTGGATGAAACCATTTTGGTCCAAGTAGAGAAAGAATTCTGGTAGTAGTAGTCATCACTTTCGTGTAAAGGAGCTCTTATTAAAGTGTTATTGTCATTATATAGACAGCGACTTATATGTTTTCTAATTCGATTTATGATGAGACAATCAATTTATTTATAGCTGATGAGTTTACATATTAACCCTTCGATTCATACTTGATCAAATGCTTTCTCAAGGTCAACGATGCACCTGTGACATATTTTATATTCCAGTTCCAGGGTATTTCGGAGACGAGAAGATTAATGGCATACGAATTACTTAGGGCTTGTTAAGTTATTGGTTTTTAGTAACCTTATTTATATTTATACTAACCAAAACATCAAAAACTTTGATTATATTTGGTATTAGGCTAATTAGCCGAAGGGTTTTCAAGTTATTTTTTCCTTATCTTTCTTTGGTATTACAATTAGATTAGCTGTTTCCCTCTCGATAATAACAATCTATCTTTTCTGATTAAATTATACCCTATACATTTTAGTTTGTGTCTTGTGTTAAGTTTAGTTTCGTTCAACAGAACAATATCGGGATTATTATTTGATAAGCATTTACTTAGCTCTATTCTTCTGCTTATATTAATAAGCGAGTTGACATTAAGAGAAATTACGTATAACTGGGATTGGGTAATAGTAATAGTATGGTTTAAATACATGCTGTATCTATTATATTGTAAATACCATCAACTCTTGCCGTTTGTATTTCCAGCTGCTTCTGCAGAGCTATTAATAGTTTGCTCAAAGAACAAAACTGTCGCATTTACCATATAGTGATGATAATATAATATAAAAGCCATTGTTGATACGCCGCTACATCTTGTTTGGTGTTCTCTATGGGCAGAGGAAATCCATATTTCTTCAAAAATAATGCCGGCCACACTTTTACAGTCAATTAATGACCTTTTCGTGCCTGAATTACAGGATGTTGATGTAGACGACCTTTGGTTGCAACAAGACGACGACACATAACATACAGCTAAATAGACACTCAGGAAGCTTTTGGTGAGCGCATTACCTCGCGTCGTGAGGCTATGGCGTAGGCTTCAAGATTGTACAATTTAAGTCGCTTGACTACGCAGATAAACCGATTGATACCTTGAAAACGTATATTTGGCGCGCTATTACTGACATAGGGCCCCGATTACTAAAAATAATGGTTGAAAATTGAGCCTCTCGGCTGAAATGTATTCGAAACAGCTGCCACAGTCACTCATCCGAAATCACTTTTAAAACACAATGACAAACTCTTATATTTATAATAAAGCTAAATTGTTGGCCATATAAACTATATCCGTTTTATTTCTTTTTGAAAACCACATGTATAAAAAACACCTTTATATTATATTATTCTTCAGTACCATTTTTCTTTCAGTCTTTTCGCCCAACTTTCAATATTATTAATGTGCTGGTATATTAATCACATTTACACATTCACACATCAAAGTTGCCTTTGGTTAAATGATATTTTAACAACCGCAGAGTGCTGCTTCTACTTTACTGTAAAGTGGTGTAATCTTTCCCCTCAACTAAATCAAGTAGTACCTTGCTGCAAATAATACATATTGCGTAATTTTCAGCTCTGTTGTTGCCTTATCCGATGGCGAATTATTAATAATGTATGGCAATTGGCCTCTTCAATTAACATTGCGTATACTCCGAAAGTTCTACTTTACAGGTATTTAGCTTGATTGATTCCCTGCTGTCAGCTGTGTGAAGAACAGACGCTTTCCGGGAAGAGCGCCTTCTAAATGTTCCTTTTCTCTCATTGAATACGTACATATGTATATTTATGTACTCGTTCTTGAACTTTCTACTGCTTTTTGTGGGGCGTTCTGAATAATCGCCACCTGCGACGTGATTAACCTTATCAACCAGCTACAGATATTTATTCAATATACTCCTTATATCGTATTATTTTCAATATTTTGCTTAATATGAATTCCGATTGGAAATAAAGCAGCACTGAAACTTTTGCTCGTTATGTTAAAAATCGTTAATATCGTTAATATATTTTGTTGTTTTCTTTTCATTTTTTTCGTAAGCTGATTCATACCTTTTCTTTCTATTTCATAAATTTCGGGATCAGTAATATGTACGACTGGGACAGTTAGATAGCTCCCAACACTCACACCTTCTCAGAATACAAATCGTTTCAATGTGTAAGTTTGCTGACCATAAATAACAGACTTGGCTAGTTTATGGTAACAAACCGAAACCTGTAAAACTCCAACTTCGGAAAATTTTCCAACGATTGTTCCTCTAATTTAGATATTTTATTACCTAAAAATAATTCAGTTCACGATATTCCTACTTATTTCTATTCATAATTATTTAGCAATCACTATTATTTTTCTTTTTGATTCCAGAATTACTACGGCCGTTTATCGCTCTTTGAAGATCAGCAGACAACATTAAATAACTTGGCACGTGGTCTTCCTATTTCTTATCGTGTGGCTTTCCCACTTTTTAATGTATTGCCAAAGTTGACGCGTATCGCTATCAATGGCGTCACTGTTTGCACGGCCTCTGAGTGTGAGTAATACAATACTTAATTGCGCAAAACAATTTAATTTTTATTTTTTCCACTTTGTAGATCCCCCTCCAAGTACTGCTTTGGATCTTCAGCATACGTTGCAAACAGCAACTGTGCGTGGTACAAATCCACTAAACAGTAATTTTGGACCCGTTTTTTCCACCGAAACAAATACAATACCCAGTTTGACTATTAATCACTTTGGGCAGCAACGTCAATTTGTTAGTCAGCAGCCTCAAGTCACAAGGCCAAGGCCTGTGCCTAATAACCCATTTTTACAGCCAACAACATCGAGAACTCCAGATGCTGCTGATAACTTGCGCTGTGGTGTGGAGGGTAATGCGGCGACGCCATTCATTCACGGTGGCATACAGATTTCGCGTGGCCAATTCCCCTGGTTGACCGCCATCTATCGGAAACAGTCGTCCGGCTTGAGATTCTTATGTGGCGGCTCTCTAGTCTCTTCGAGCACAGTCATCACTGCGGCACATTGTTTTAAACTAAAATCTATCGGCGCCTCTCAGGTCGTGGTATATTTAGGCCGTCACAACTTGGAAAATTATGGTGAGGTTGGAGCTGTATCGAGAGATATACGCAATTTGATAATTCATCCCGACTATGATGGAAAGTCGCTGCCAGATGCAGATATCGCAATACTACACATGCAGTCAAGTGTTGAGTAAGTTAATTCGTTAACCCATTTACTTTTTTGGTGATGTAAATAATATTTTGTTTTTGTAGTTTTAGTCAGTTTATTCGGCCTATTTGCTTATGGAGTGAAGCGGTGGACAGTGCATTGATTGTTGGTCAAACAGCATTCGTTGCCGGCTGGGGAGCGGATGATAGTGGTCATGAAGTGACCGCGTTGCCTAAAATGGTTGATGCAGCAATCGTCAGCGACAACGAATGTCTACGTTCTTCGGAGGTCTATAGTAAATTGACAACGCCACGCACCATTTGCGCTGGTAATCGTGATGGTACTGGCCCTTGTATGGGCGATTCTGGTGGCGGCTTGATGTTAAGTCGTAACGGTGCTTGGACGTTACGTGGCGTCGTATCGGCCGGTCTTACTAGTCAAGGTCAATGCGATCTCAGTCAATATGTAATATACTGTGATCTGGCGAAGCATTTTTCATGGGTGCGAAGCAATGTTTTGTGACAGCGGGATTTGGTTAGCCAAACACATGCGCAACTGCATCGTAGACTGTGAATATTTACAAGCCTACTTAACTTATTTATTAAAATGTCTCCATAACTGATCGAATTGAGATTATAATGATGATAATGTTACCAGTTTAGGGATTACAAGAAAGGTTTATTGACTGACTTACACGTAAGGGTATCTTCAAAGCTCTTCAAATTTCTGCATCTCATATTCTTCTTTTATCTTTACTGTAAAATTCTGTTATACAACAAAAGTCAAAATATAGTATAAACGACATTATGTTCTGAAATATTTAAAATATATTAATTCTTCTTCTTTGGTACTACAACCATGGGCGGTCTGGGCCTAGAACACGAAACTTCCCCGGTCGCTATGCACTTGGTCATTCCTTGCTACGTTGTCCATCCATCAGTCCCGAACCAAATGAGCTTTTCGCTGGAGCACCATTTTCCACGCGAACGACATAACCTAACCAGCGTATGCGTTGGATTTTTATGCGCTAGCTACATCCATGTCGCCGTAGAGCTCATATAGTTCGTGGTTCCTTTTTCGATATTCATCGCTCACGTGGACGGCTCCAAAGATCTTTCTAAGAAAAGTTCTCTGGAATGCTCCAAGTTCTTTCTCATTTCCGATACGCCGTATAATAGGACAGAAATAATAAGGGACTTATAGAGAGTACTTTTTGTTCGTCGAGAGAGCGATCTGTTTCCAAATGCCTACCGATTTCAAAGTAGTATCAGTTGGCAAGCGTTATTCTGCGTTTGATCTCCAGGCTTAGATTATTACAAAGTTAAGTTTTTAAATTTATTGCTGCCAATAGTGACGTAGATCCCAAAACACAAGGTGTCTTTGTATTCATGTACTTTGTCTTATCTTGTCTTGAATGGCATGAGCCGATTGATATACATACCAACATCCTCTGCAACTTCCCTAATACAAGAGTAATTTGACGATTTTGAAGAACAATTACTGTTTCGATGTTTTCTTCGCTTGTTGATGTGGTCGCCCTTTGGTCATCGTCATCAACATCTTCTCGGCCTTCTGCAAAGCGCTGGTACCACTTATAAACCCTTTTTTGAGACAAAGTGGACCCACCGAATGCCACAACCAACATTTCAAGTGCCTTGGAGCACTTTATTCCATTTTAATTCTTTGATCCTTTTCATTCAAAAGTTAAAAATCGAAGAGTATACTAATCGAAATTGACTTCTACTGCAAGCATAAGATAAACATTATAAATGTCTGATTATAACAAAAACAAAATATCGATCACCGAATGTACACAGCCCGCGAAAAATCAAAATTCACCTAATTCTTTGATCACACCTCGTATATCTGAAAGAGTATTAAATTATGATATCTTTGATATTTTTTACTAAACAAGTTACATGATATTTGTTATCGCTTCCACTTCATCCTTTCCTAATTCGATAGTTTTTGTTGTACTCTGATTTATTTGCGGGAAGAAAATCGTATTCATTTAGTAGTCATAGTCCTCATTTATATTCTGGTGCACAGAAACTTTGACAGCACGTTAACTATTACCGCATGTTAACCTTCGAATCGTGACAGGCATGAAATCGACCAACAAACCAAGAAGCACGTGCTAAACTATTAGCAATTAAGGCGGTGTGAGATTTACAGCTAATACAAAACGATGAAATCAAAATCAAACCGTCCTCATATATTCATATTTACGTGCACACATTATACCATTTAGTTGGGCTATTTTGAAGAATTTTATGTGACTTAGTATGTTATATTATATATTGCAGTTTTGACATATAAGTTTATGAATAATATAAGGTATAGTTCATAACATAACCGGCCAACGGTTTGGTTTTTTTTTTAAATAAACAACCTTCAAGACTGAAAAAAGATGGTAACTTCATGGTGAATTTAATAGGTATACCCTATACGATATAACAAAAAAATCAGTAAGGAATGATGTAAATTCAGCAAAAGAATCTATTTATACCACGGGTGCTCACACCATAGCTCACTTGGCTCCGTTTGTCTCTCAAAAACATTTTTTTTTTGACAAACACAACATTTTAAGAACAACACGCAAAATGACAGCAAACAGTTGATTTGCGCTCGAAACTAACGATATAATCGTCAGTTATTCACAACTGGCTCACATTCGCTCGCACTTAACTATAGCAAACAGCGTTGCCATTTTGGTCCGATCGAACCAAAATTGGTTGTTTAATTTTTTATCAGGTGTATTAATAATGCGAGATCTTCTGACCAAGAGTGGATCGCAGGAGGTCGAGGGAAGTTATCGCTAGGGTGAGATTAAAATATCTCGGCAATCACACTTTCGTCTCACACGGCCGACCTGAATACTTAGCCGAAATGGATATTGGCCGTCTTAGCAAGTTTGTTATAGGCACAAAGCGTTTTGTCGACTTTTAAGGGTCTTTTGAACCAGCTTATAGGAATTTTTAAGGTACCACAACGGACCGGCGTTTTAAGCTTTAAAAGTTAGATTCTTTTTGGGATCGACCTCCTAACCTAACCAAACCTAATAATGCAGATTTATAGAAGATCTTTAGGTTAGTTCGCTCAATATTGGATAATATTTTGTTTGCTTTCATACTAACTAAAAAATTATTATAAATGAGAACCATCAAAAGTAAATTTTGAATAGTTGTTAATATTATACTTTTCAACTGGTTTTTTATGTATAACATCAAAGTACCTAAAACCTCCGCAGTAAGCGAACAAAGTAATATTGCCATCAGAAAGCGAATATTTCGTATTGACTGGTTAAAAATATTCGATTGATTTGAAGAAAAGGTATTATATAGGTAGTATTATGTTAGATTACGAGGTCGATCGTAACAGGGTCTCACTTGAACAGTTTAGAACGCCAGTCTGTTGTGGTACCTAAAACTCCAATATAATGGATCATAAGAACCTTTTGTGAAAAAGCTCACTGCGCCTTTTCTCCAGCGACTGCTCCCCATCCACATATCCTAGCCGGTATGTGAGCAGCGAAAACACCACCACTAGTAGCCTCTGCGATGCAGAGACCAAAGTTTTCAGGAATGCAGTTGAATGAGGAGAGAATTTCCGCGTGTGCTTATTTGGACTCCTTCATATACCCTTACCTGAGCCTATGAGCGCACTTCGCAGCAACATACCTGCCGGCAATGTACACGGGAAAGGGTGTGCATGTTGCTATATTTAATTGACCTCTAATACTATGTTCGCACCGACACAAAATTCGTGTTTTCGTAGACAAAAGAGTTTTCACGCGAAAACTTGTGGTTTCCTCCATACAAAATCTCTCAAACGAAAACACAGTTTTCGCTGAAAACCCCTTGAAAACTTACATTCCACTCATTTTAATCGGTGCCTGCCCTAGTTTAATCGATATTATTAGAAGACATATTTTGCCAGCCATAAATGTCAGTTGACAATTTGTTTACATTCCATAATTGTCCTAAACGTACCCTAGAAAAAACTGCTGATGGGTTCACCGATACACTCACATTTGATATGTCAGTACTCTTAATTTACATTTGCCTTTTTAAATTCAGAACTATCCACTGATTGGAGAAAGACGTACGCAGAGCTATTGAGAGGAGGAGATGGCATCAAGTGAAAATTTATTGATATATAATATTTTCATATATTATTATATTTTTTGTTGCATTCCTCTTTATATTTAAGTATATTACTATAACTAATTTTGTTTAAAAGTTTGAAATTTATTAAAGAAATAAAAATTATATTATATTATCTACTGCGCAAAAGAATTTTTCAATTCTGATAGCGTTTCAGTCATAACTGACAATTTTCAGCTATGACGGATTTATGGTCAGCAATGACTCAGAAAAAACAAAACAAACAAAGAAAAAGAAAACAAGGCTCTTAAGAAAATGATAGAAACTTTGTTCTGCGCGCTGACAAAATTTTTCAGCTATGACTGATGGGTTATAAGATGACCGTCCGTGTTCTTGTAGGGTACGTAACAAATGTAAACGAATAGATGTGTGAACTGTCAATGAAACCTCATCGAAAACACACAATGTCGGTCAGAACGACTTTGGTTCACAATCCACAAATTGTGTTTTCAAGAGGATTTCAATTCGATGCGAACATAGTATTAGGTTTATTTGTATGTAAATATGTACAATACATAATTTTTTATTTTTTAAATGTTCACACATTTTTTCTCACTTCATTTTATTATTATTAGATACACAATTTTTCTATCAGATCTGTGAACTTTTCCAAATGCTTGGCCATACTATCCGATTCAGACGATTTGATACGCAATTTTAACAATGTAACGCGACGTGCATGTCTCTTAGGCATATGAATTTCTTTTAGTCTTTCTCACGCACAAGCTGACGTGCGGCAATTCTTCACATTATATATCTGTGAAGACTTAATGCATAGAATAATGCTGGCTAATTCTTTTTCGTCTTTTGCATCAAATGCAGCTTTTACATGAACGATCCACGCGCTGTAATTGTGGTCATCCAGCTTTTCAATAGAATGTATAACGGAATTAATTTACTTATTAAATTTTACAAATTACTTGTTCAAGAAAGTCCAGAATGATCACATTTGATGCACAGTTTATGTGAGACAAAAATATAGAGTACAATATACACATAAAAAGGGTGTTTTTTTTAGAGGTATAGAACTTTAAATTACAATAAAACAACGATGGATTATTCGATTGACATCAACTTTATTTATCCGAAATATAATCTTGTGGCATTACATTTAAAATATGATTTCTGGCATATGACCGCCACAGCTGGCTCGAATGTAGTCCAATCTAGACGTCCAATTTTCGATGACTTTTTCCAACATTTGTGACCGTATATCGGCAATAACACGGCGAATGTTGTCTTCCAAATGGTTAAGCGTTTGTGGCTTATGCGCATAGACCAATGACTTTACATAACCCCACAGAAAGTAGTCTAGCGGTGGTAAATCACAAGATCTTGGAGACCAATTCACAAGTCCAAAACGTAAAATTAGGCGGTCACCAAACGTGTCTTTCAATAAATCAATTGTGGCACGAGATGTGTGACATGTTGCGCGGTCTTGTTGGAACTACAGCTCCTGGAACGGTGTTTCGACATGCACCTAAGGATTAGCTTCACTTCAAATGCGGCAGTTTTGTTTGTTGACGTAGCCATTCAACCAGAAGTACGCTTCATCGCTAAAAAAATTATCGACGATAAAATGAACGTAGTGCGCGATACGTATTCCGCACAGAACCATTATTTTCGAAATAAAATTGCACTATTTGCAAGCGTTGTTCAGGC